TCCTTCACCCTAAACCCTGAAACCCTAAACCCACAAGAATCTGCTTGGGGTCAGCGATGAAGCGCTCACGGAGCAAGCGCCGCTGCAGAGCACGCAAGCGGCTGCGCTCGCAGGGTGAAGGCCAGGCTCTGCTTCGCGGCTTCCGGAACACTCTTCAAGGTTTAGGGTTTAGCGTTTTGACTTTTTCGGATCTGCAGGGCTTTGGGCTTATGATAATGGACTTAGGGTGTAAGGCGGTGTAAGGTACGGGGTTGAGTGTTTCCGAGTTACAGTTTTAGGGTTCGATTGCGAGCATTCGCGTGAGCCCCAGTTGCACAAGGGCTTCAGATTTAGATGTTTTGGGGTGGCATCTTATGTCTGTGGGAGTGTTTTTGCGTTGTACCACACGGCTCGAAATGGTCCCAGAGTCCGTGTAGAGTGTGATCTCTGGGCCCCAAACTCCCAAAACTGAGTCCTGAATCCGAACCCGTTTGGAGCCCTTCTCCTGATTATAGCCCTTATGGGGTCTGTGTGAGCATTGTGACGGCCAGGCGATCCGCCCAGCAGCGCGGAAGCCCAAGCTCAGACAAGCGCCTGGGGCACCTTTAGTAGTCAGACTCAGCCGGCGACCATGAACCGCAAACGAAGCTCTGTCCTTTCAAAGACGCTGAGGCCCCGAAATCAAAAACGCTTCGTGAGCTGTCACCATGTGTCTGTTTCTTCCAGATGCACCCCATTCCTACATGCGCAATCATCTTCCCCTTCAGTGGGCAGGGAAGCTTTTGGCAAAGAAGAACCCAAGTTTCGGATTCCTCGGGCCGTCGTGTCCGAGCTCAGGAGGTGCCTTCGCCGAAGATCCCGCGCCCACGAAGCCAAGCTTCGGCGAGTCGCTCGACGAGCTTTCATTTAGAGAACTTCGGGTCGAGTCTGCAGCTCACAAAGAAGGGTTCCAGGTTGCGCCATTCCCTGCCAGTAGCTCCCATTCCATGTCATGCAAGTCGCTCCCATGGTAGACAGCCTACGTTTCGGATTGCCGCAGAGTGTGCAAAGAGAAGGCACGGCAGCAGATGTCCCAAGTTCCCGAGTCATGCACATTGCCGGAACGGCTCTTCTGCCAGGATCATCACGCAAGGCCTGTCCCGGTTTGAAGAGCACTACAGGCGAGGTAACTTTCTGGCTTCACCTAGCAGCACTCACACATCATGGAAATGTCGTGCGCTGACTCAAGTCAGGGGCGCAGTCTGGGGCACGTGGCTGGGAAGTGAGTAGTTGTTATATGGGCCCTTATCTGGAGCCCGGCAGACTGTTCCGGAAAGGTTCTGTGCACGGAGGGCTCGACCCACTCACATGCCGCAGATCAGCAAACAGAAGTGTCAGCCAATTAATGTGCATAATATGTGTATGTAATTATTTATATATATATATATATATAGATATGTACATTATGTATGAAAGTCTATATGTAGACTATGTATGTATGTGTTTATGTATAAGCAAACATACCATACAGATCTACTGCTGAGAGTGGCAGCTTAAAAACTTCCCACTTGTAGCAACAATACTTAATGGCCATCGTGCAAGTGCCACATACTCGTGGTCCTTTCTCACGACTTCAGCATGCATGTTCATTCTCAACAGGCCGAAATCGTGTGCACCAGCCAGCAGACGCAGTGTCCATTTGCATCGGACTTCGTCTTTGTGGGTGAAGGTGGTCTCGAGCTTGCTCACCCTCGCGATTACTCAGATTACGTTGTCAGTGTGAACCAAACTGGAGCAGACGCTCGACGCGAAATCAGCGATGCGTCGATGTTCGTGGATGTGCATCTGCTGAGCGGCAACAGGATATCTTTGGAAGTGGAGGCGGATGCATCTGCCGAGTCGTTGAAGCAAAGTGCCCAGAGTGCTCTGCTCACGGGCAGACGGGGGCTGCTGAATTCTTTAAATCGTACCCCCACAACTTACAAGCAGGCACGTCACACAATCGAAGCCCCCGAGTCTTCTTTGATCTTTACCTATACATCAGCCAAGCCAATAACAAATCAAACCTGCGGTCTTCCACGATACACGGCCGCTACTGGCTGCGTTGGCAGGCTTCAAGAGATTGCCAGCGACGAGGAGCCCGGAGAGCCCAAGACCAAGACCCCCTTCATTCAGCAAAAGCATCCTTGATGCTCTTCAGCTTACAGACTAGATCGAGGGCTGACATAGAGAAAGGCACGTTTACCCCAGCACGACCTGTGCACATGAGAAGGTGAGCTCTAGACGCCAATGCACGAAAGCCTCTGTGCGCAGCGTCCTTGCAGGAGTGGCCGAAGCTCTGTCATACTCTCCGCCAGCCGCTGCCCATCTCCTTCCGCTTCACGGCACAGGTGCCGCTCAGCTTAGCTATGGATGGTCGGCTTCCGCTGACTGCTGCAACTCCCGGCATGGTCGGGCATTGTGCCTTGCAGTCGCTCTGCCGAGGTCCAAGGTTGCAGAAGCGGAGTTCCGCGAGTTCTTGGAGGTGAGGGCAGTTGCAGGCCGCAGGAACAGGACTTTGCATGAGAGTTGCTGGCACCGGCAGGAGCTGAAAAACGGCTGTCACACGGCTCGCGGGCGATTTGTGCCAGCACCGCACATCTTCGACTTTGCCAAGGCTCATATCATTGAGTCCGGGAGAGGGAGGGAGAGAGAGCGAGAGAGAGAGAGAGAGAGAGACTGTAGCTGAGCCCCCTGTGGAAATAACGCATAGGGGGAGAAAAGACGCCCGAGGACCGCGCGTGCGCGCGCGGGGAGTGCAGGGGCGGACTACCCTGTACTCCCCACCTGGTAGAAGGAGAGACAGAGAGAGAGAGAGAGAGACTGTAGTTCTTGTGTTTACGAGAATGTGGCTGCCGGGGAAAATGTTCAGGGACGGTGTGGAAAGGCAAAGGCAGTGTCGCGCAAGGCTTCCGTTGAGGATCAGGTGGGGAGGCAGGTCAGGAGGGGATGTAGCACAGAGTTTCTAGAGCTCGACCGGCGGACAGGTGCCGGGGCCAACAATACTTGTAGGAAGTTCTGTACTGTGTTGAAGTGTTGCTGCAGCAGTCTTACATGGCATGTTTACACACTAGGCTCGAGCACTCCCGAGTAGCTGTCGTTGGAGAGACCGCGGATGACCCGGCTAGAGCTTCTGGTTGTCAGGGTGATGGTTTAGGAGATGCCTTTTCCTGGCCGGGGGATACAAAGCTCAACCGGGGAATGCGAACTTCTCTCATCCCCGGAAGGGGCAGTTCAGACTGCATGCTTCGCGGACCGTTGGTTGGGGGGTAGGCCTCCGGGCCAGGGCTCTCTCGAGGGCCCATACCCCATGCAAGCAAGCAAGAAAGAGGAAGGAAGGAAGGAAGGCAATTGGCAGTTCCGCAGGTTCAGCCTGGAGCATGATTCCTGAACGGTGAATGGGCATCCTGAGCTTCATGGCTGTTGATGTCCCTCTTTGCGTAGGTGGTGTCGCTGGGCTGTGACGACCGGACGTTAAAGCAGGACCATGTCCAACTGCACCCCGACACCCCGAAGCCACGCAGCCCAAGCCGAATCGGGAAGGAGCAGCGAGAGGCGCCCGACGCCCCCTTGGCGAGACTCGGCCGCTGGTTGAGTCGCCGGGCACCTGAGGGCCTGGTCTCGAGGCTGAACGTTCAAAGCGCGTTCGGAAAGCCGAATTACTGTGGTATGTCCAGAAGCTAGTTGGGTTGATACTCAACCCGTCTTCTTCTCAGCCGGTGAAGAAATTCAGGCCTCTATGCTTGGTGCTCTGTCGCAATGCCTGAACTCTGGATTGTAGCTTTGACGGAGAAGATGCATCGTCCCAAACGAGCCCAGAAATACTTTTTCCGCAATGCCACCATCCAGGAGTCCGGCATCCGCAACTTCCTTGATGTAAAAACTTGGTGGTGGGAAGTTTCTTTCGAGATTGTGGCTCACACATACGCCTCTGTAAACTCCCAACATACTGTTGCACTCCCCTGCCATGCGGGAGGCAGGAAGTCGTCTCTGCCGTGCCCGTGGCGCTCTTGGGAGTCGCTCCTCGACGCACGAAGTCCTCACTAACTTCTGCGACAGCAGGCATTTCTGCAAAGCGGAAAGGTTGTGCCGGTTAAGTCTGCAAACCGGGAGATGCACCATGATGCACCCATCTACACTCCAGAGCAGGCATGGTTTCTAGATGTTGCAATGAGGGGTTCGCCGATGCCTGCTTTAAGCAGAGTTCTGCACTCAGCAAAGGGGCATCAGAGTTGGTCATGCCCCCCCGTTCCAAAGAGACATGCCAGCGGAAAGCTCCGGATGAATTCTTCTTTGCCCAAGGAGCCCGGCCATGCTGTGCTGGACGTTTGCGCGGCTCCGGGATCGAAGACGCTGCAGGCGCGTCGGACTTCTTCACCTCAATGAAGCTCTGCGGGAAGGAGTTGGAGGCAATCTGTGGCACAGGTCCACTCCGAAGTTTGTGTGAATCAACAAGAAGCGAGCTGCAGACGTCCTCTTGCTGTACAGTAGACCTCCAAGGCGGCTCACTATCTGATGCGAAGTGTAAGCTCAAGCTCAGCAGCTGGAGGCCATTGAGAAGGTGTGCCCTGTTGGCGAAGACACCGCAGGTGCAGTGATTGCCAATGACCCTCGTACGGCAAAAGGGCTTCTGAGGCTCACGACGTACCTTAATGTAACTTCCATGGCATGCCTTTTGAATGGGCCCTTATAAAGTCAATGCAATATACATCCATATACCAAAGAACAAACAGACTAGAGGGCTTAATGCTAGGGCCGCTAGGGCCCACAAACAGAGAGGCAGGAACTGCCGGCGCGGAAGGCCTGCTTCTGTAAGAAGAGGCTCTTGCAGGTTCAGGTATCTTGTGTGCAGGTTGCAGCGTGACAGCAGCTGCCTGCTCTCAGCTTTCTTGCAGCGAAGCGCAGAAGTCTAGACCTAGACCTCCAGGCTTCGAAGAATCTGTGCAGTATTAGGTAGGTGGAATCTGGAAGCCCGTACTATGCAGGACAATGCAGACCTTTGTCCGTATGACGGCTGTTGCTCCTCCAGCTCTGCAGGGCTTTGCTGTAGTCCCGAAATATCATGTAACATCGGGCATGCTGCTAGGGTCGAAGGGACGGACCGAGAAAGCATGTGCCCATCTCTAAGGAGCTGAGTGCTATGCGCGCGCGAGTTCTTGCAAGGAGGCTCTTCACTGTTCGAGCTTGTGTTGAGGGCTCTGCCATCGCCAGTTGTCTCTGGGCCGGCATTCCAGCAATTGGAATCAGGGCAAGCTTAGCAGGTCTGGTGGTTGTCGTGGGCGTGTGGATGTACGGCGCAGGGTGCGCAGAAAATCGTCATCGACGCTTTGGCCCTGAGTGTAGGTGTGCCCTCCTTGGCGCAGCCGCGGGTGCCGTGGCGGTGGTGCAGCACAAGGCGCAGGTCTTCCCAGGCCTGCCAAGCATCTCTCTCTCACGAGCCAATTTTCCTGAACAAATGAAGTGGAGGGGTTGGATCTAAACATGGCAGCTCCGTCGCAATCGGGTGGCCGAAGCGAGGCCACGCACTGTGTGCGTCGTCACAGTGACATCCCCAAGCACAGGTCCCGGTCTCTTCGATCGTATCATTTGCGATGTGCCCTGCAGCGGGGATGGCACCATGCGAAAACATCCTGAGAAGTGGCGGTCCTGGAGTGGCTTGAAAGCACCGAGACACGACATGGCCTGGTTCCTTTAGATTACGGATTGGGCTGAAGAGAGACCAGGGGCATGCACCATCTCGAACGAAACCTGTGGCTTAGCTTAAGCCGATATGGGCGGTGTCTGCTTGCAGAAAGTCCAAGCCACTTACCTCTCCAGATGTTTTCCGGCCCGAGCCCAGCGGCCTTCGCTAGCTGAAATCTTATACGTCAAAACCAACTCCCGAACAACCTCCGAACCAGAGTCCCAGGCCCTCACCTTGGTCGGGAGCTCCATGCCCGGCAGCTCCAGATTGCTCTCCGCGGCCGCTGCGGCTGAAGTTTCGGGGTTTCCTACATTCGTGCGTGAAGGGAGGCCTTGGGAATTTCAGTTAAACTTACGGAGCCCAATCAAACAACGGATCCTCATCATAGGCACCCAGCAACAAGGGAGCGACATTCCCTCCGAAAGTGCTTGCCTCTTGCGATAGGAGATCAGTATCTTATTCTGGAATCTCTTTCGGTGCTTTCGGCTTATAAACTCAAAACTCGTCATGAGGACTGGCGCTCCTGCAGGTGGGTGGCCAGATGACGCTTCTTCGTAGAATTCAGACACGGAGGATGTCCTGCAACACACATACAAGTGTGTGAAAGTGATTAAAACGATTTGCAGACAGCAGACTGTAGAGGTACGTCATGTGGCGCCTCCCGCACCCTCAAAGTCTCCAAGGTACAGCACCTGCTCCTTCAACCCCTTGGAGAACGAGGCACAGGGCACAAAATGACTCCAGCCACAGGGCAGTGCACATTCTGCAGTGTCCCTCCGGCGCGACATGCTTTGCACACTCACACACTCACACCACACACACACACACCACACACCAACAAAAGAAGGCACTTGCAGAACGTGCATGGGCAAGTGTAGGTAGATGTAGATGAGCAAGTGATAGAATTTTTCTAGAGGCCGTGGTGGCCAGCCTCCTTCGTCGGACGGGCGGTGCTGTCGTTCTGAAGCGTCCGCCTGCGCTGGAGGGGTCCCTCAGCGAAATACCAGAGCCAGACTTTAAGCAGACGTGCTTCGCTCGCTTTGCTTGCGGATGTTAAACGAAGACAAGTATGCTCGGGAATCTGGTATAGATCTGAACAGATGCAGGGAAAAACCACTTGTGGGAGAAAAGCCTTGCATCCCGAAACACGGTGGTAGAGTACAGGAGGCCGCGGGAACGAGACCGGGCCAGTCCGGTCAAGCTCCACACCTCAAGTTGCTGTCCTTGTGACGGTTTACAGGGATGCTTTGGCAGATAAGGTGTCCGGCGCATGCCCCAATGACCTAATGCGTGAAGAGATGCGGCAGATCAGCATGCCAACATCGGAACTGTCTCCGAAAACTGCTAGGTGGTTCGTGAGGTATAGAAAAGCCGATTCAATTAGAGCTCCGATCTCTTCGCGCTGCTTCTGGATCACATCGGCATTCTGAATTGAGTTTTGCCAGTGCTTGCTTTCAGTCGAAGCCCTGAAAACGAACCTGCCCTGCCTATCTGGTTTCGATTCTGGACACATGTCGGAATCAGAAAGACCTTGCCGAGGTTGCCCGTGCGGCCAGGGTTGCAGCACTGGGAGGCAGTTGATCGTTGCACTTGCGATGAAAGTTGTGGGCTTGCCTCTTTTCGTCGACCCATCTCTCGAGAGATCACCCCCCTCTTTCCTAACTCCCTCTTAACCCTCGCCTTGCACGTGCAGTCCATAGGGCTCAGGGCTCTTTGGGCCAGATCCCCGTTGCGCTATGACGGAGGTCGTAGATGAAGCCGCCGGGCGGCTCGCCAGCTACCAGGACATCAAGCGTGACCAGGTGGCACTTGGGGCAGGCAGGGCTTCTTCTTGTCCGATGTTGTGACTATGCTCCGTCTTGATCTTCGATGGGCTTGGGAACATGCGACAGAATTTGAGCCTTCTGGAGAAACTCCACGGAACACCCGAAAAAGTTCAGGTGAAGGCAAGAGTTAGTCCTCAGTACCGAGGCCTGCCGGCCTGTCTCCGCCGCCGGTACCGCTCTTCCATGTGGCCGCCGGTTGACGTGAAGGAGGGGGAGATGAGATTCCCACCATCTTTCAGCAAAGCTTTGCAGGCGCAAGAGTTTTTCGCTCAAAGATTTGGAGAATGTCGGAGCCGGGAGCCGCTACCTGCTATACCCTTCTGCATCTCCACTCAATTCCAGAATCCGTGGTGGGTTATTGATGCGGCTTAAGTGCACGATCCGGACTTCAAACGCACGCCCCCTGCGAGGATCTGAAGCTTCAGCGCTGCTCCCTGCCCTGAAATTGAATTCATCACCTGCGAACGTCTGACATGTTTCGTGTTTAGGCTTGATTGGCGAGTGCGATGTGCTGCGAGGGACTTGGCCGGGCGAGCTCAGTTCAAGCCTGTGGAAAAGGCTTGATTTACGTGGTTGATAGAACCAGTAGGGTGAGTGTTTGCACGGTGGAGAGGCACTTCGAGCCAGTGTGCTCGGCTTTGGCCTTTGAGGTGTGCGTTGTGTTCCGTTCCTTGCGAACACCGGTGGCTTCTTCGTGGCGCTTTTGGCCAAAGTGCGAGAGTGGCCGTCGGCGCCTGCTGCGAAGGTCGAGGCCTCTTCCCGGGTTTCTTGAGTCCGTGCTAAAGTAAAGTTTGTAGGGCTCTGGGAGATAGGGCCGAGGCAAACTGCTACCCCATCCTCAGGATCTTCACGATCCCTGGTGAAGCTCACTCCGAATAGACCCGCAATACAGAGAACCAGTTCGAAAGATGTCATGCAACAATAAATAGAGCACTGGCATTGTTGGCTTACTGCAGAAACACCCTCAAACCGGCGATAAAGCATGGAAATTAAAGATCATTCCGGGGTTTTTAGGCCTTCAAAGTTCCAGGTCTGAGGTTCACAACTCTCAAAAGCCACAGCAGGAAAGGTAAGGCTGTGCTTCAGGGTGGATGCGACGGAGATCCGGTTCACACCGGGAGGGAGCTTCGAACAAGACAGCTGAGCCTGTTTTGACCTCCATCACCTCGTCTCCTGACACCCGCCCCTTGCAACAACCCTACATTCCTACATTCGGGCAGTGTGAATGTAAGAAGGCTCACCTGCTGGAGCTGAGACGTGTGGTGAAACACCACAGAATTTCCGTCCATCATGCCTCGTGCTTGGGGCATGCAGAAGGAAGACCGACAAGGAGCCATACTTAGGTCCCCCATATGTCTGTTTCCTTTACTCACGACAGCACGCGATCCACCAAGATGTAGGGCCTGAGATCCATAACCAGCTTGATGACTGCACGGATCTTAGGTGTTGGTGGGGGGGATGTCTTGAGTAGGTTGACACTCTGCGGGGTGTGCCTGTCGTTGCGACCTCCACCGAATAGGTTGGTTTCACTTCAGTCAGACCTCGAACCATCTGCCTCGCCTGGAGTCTCAGAGTGCGAGCGTCAAAAACCCCGCAAGCCTTCAGCGTCTGCAGGTGAGCGAGAGCCGCGACAGCCACGTTGCCAAACCTCTGCAGCTCTCGAAGGTCTTACCTGAGGCCGGCCCCGACAAAACGGAAGCCTGGGAGAGGCCACCAGTGGGCCAGCCTGCAGAAGTCCGCAGTGAGGAGATGAATGCTTCCAAGACTTGAATCAGAGGCCCACTCGGCAATCTTGCACGCAGCCTGCGAAGAAACAGTGATAAAAACGTTTGAAAGACTGTAAATTGCAGTCTTTCGGCCATAATTCAGAACGGGTCCTCGTCATCTTAATTGGAGATCTCCATGTTCGGGTAGGGTAGAGTGGGCCTCATATTGCACTTATGTTTACTGTTCCTGTGAATGTTACTCCTATCGTCACCCGTACTAAAAAACTGTTCGCGGTTTGTCTAGTACTGCAACAATGAAAACTGCTGATTGTTGCTACGATTAGTACGATTACTGCTGCTATGATCTCTGGCTATGATGGTGATCATCATCATCCTCATTACCATCATCACCATCATGTTCATGATCATGACGATGTCTATTACTATTCTCATTGTTTTTGTTGATTATATAATTATTGTGATTATTAGTAGCATTAATCGTGCGATTCTTCCGTTTACCGCTTGTATTTCCGATGAGTATTTGAAATACGATTATTTTTATGTGTTGCCTTCACTGGTACTATTACAAACCGCCTCAGAGTCAATGCCCAACAGTGCTGCGACACTGGTTGGACAGCAGAAAACCTTATCCTCTTTTGATTTGTTGATCCCTATTTGATTTTGTTTCGATCCGAAAGTTGGTCATCTTGAATATACCCTCCAGCAGCTATGATATTTTGTTTTGTCGTGATCCCTAGTTTGATTTGTTTTTGATCCCAGACATTGGCTTGTTTTGATCCCTGTTTGATTTTGATCCCTCGCCGAAGACATATCAAAGTTGGAGGCGCTGGCCCGGAGCACGGGGGTGCCATCTCTGGAAAAAGGCTTCCTTCTTTCCAGAGGAAGACGGACACTTGCTCCCTGAAGACTTGGGGCGTCAGGGTTTGAGGAAGGTGTGGGGGTTAGCCACCGTTTTGACCATGTTGGCCGAGCACTTGCTGCGCGCACAAGTAGAGTCGAGCCTCCAGAGAATGCCGAAATGTCGAACCCCCTCCGTCTGAGGCCCAGTTGCCGGCATGGGACGGCCAGTCGTTGTAGCACCCTGCTGCCTTGCATTTTGCATGTGTACGCAGGGACCTCTGATCCCACAAGGAAGCTCTTCTACTGCAGTCCCGGCTTGGACGCGATTCTCCGAGCGTCCAGGTGCCTCTGCTCAGACGGGGATTTGTTGGGGGGTTGGATTCCAAGAGATGGACCCGGGTGCTGCTTGTTCACGAAACTTTGAGGATGGTCAGTGTTGGAAGCGCGTAACCTCCGATTGTTTGAGCATCATTACGCTTGGAGCATACCCTTCTGAATCTTCAAAAGCCTGTCTTTCCTTGAAGAAGCCCTGTCAGGCACAAAGCTTTGTCACTGGTCGCTGCCGGCACTTGCATGGCTCTGGTGCGGGATAGTGGCTGGCAGCTGACCTCTTCAGGTGCGGAGCGGGCTCTCTGCTGGAACACATCGTTCTCTGAATCCCCATTTGCCCTAATCTTTGGACTCTGCTTGAATGAAACTCCAAGAAACCACACCGCAGACCGCAGGCTTGGACATCTTCAACCGGATGTCTGGACGCAAGGCAGAGGCCAATGCTCGCGCCGCGCAGAAACACTTCGAGTCCCACCGGTGCTTTGGCGAGAACAAGCTTATGCTCACGGCTCAGTAGGCAAGCTCTAGTGACTCTAATGGTTTGGGTATACACGAGCCGAGCCTCATCGTCAAAAGCCAACCTGTGTGGACCGGTGCTGGCATCCTGTGTGCTTCAGTCTCTTCGGTACTTTTCGGAAGATGGCGGCTTTGCCATTCACAAAGAGAAAATGCCGGGGTTCCCGGCTCTTGTCCATGTGCAAACATCTGCATGAGCACCGTTTACTCTGGGACAAAAAGACAACGATCCCTGTGACGTCTACAGTGCAGCCCCTGTGGGAGCCTTCCACTCGGGCTCGCGAGTGGCAGGTGCAAGGATGAGCAACTGTTGAAAGAAGATTAACCGCCCCAACCTTCAGACGACTTCAGGTGCACGACGTGCGATGCGCTGCGGCCGGCCAGTGCCTTCTCTAGGCCCGTGAGCTGCATAGGCCTTGTCGGAAAAGGGGCTTTCGCTTCCGCATTCAGGGAGACATTTCCATGGGCTCGTCTTGTATGCCGGGCGCATTGGACTCAACTGGTTCGGTTCAGCCTCGATACTCGAGCATCTTCGCCCTGTCAGGAAGATGCTGACACGTCCGCCCAGTAAGCGCAAGTGCAGTGCCTGCGTGGAAAATGCTCACCAGCTTTCGGGCCCAGCTAGCTTGAATTCTTGAATACGAGGTTAGGATAGCATAAGAGATCGCTCGCGCATGGCTCGTGTTGGATGGGGAAGACCACGACATCCGGCACGGTCGTGATTCTTCGTGAGGTTTGCATGCTCTTGCTACAGAGCCAATCTGGAGAGGAGCTTCTAGATTCTTGGATTCTGGCTCCCTGCTTCCTAGGGCTCTGGCGCTTTTGGGCCCAGGTCCCCTGCGAAGCAACCTGACATGGCGGGTGCCCGGGCCCCGGGAGAGCTGAGGGCGGAGGCAAGTTGCTTGCAGGATTTTCAGTAGTCCTGTACTAATTTCTCAAGGCTAGACGCTGCAAGATCGGTTGTTGAGAAGGCCGTGCTTCGCGACAAAAGGTCATTCGTGCAGAAGTTAAGTAGAACCCAATCCATCATTTGAAGTGCAATGGCTTCTCACCCAGGCCGGTGACTACCCTGTCGAAGGAGAGTCGGGACCTCAGCCGGTTCTGTGATCACTCCACAGCCTCCTGATGTGAACCAGGCTCCTTCTTGACTACGGGATATCAGGAACTCATCTCCGTTTTTTTGTTGCCCTCCACATCCGGAGATAGAATCCTCGGACTCTGTCAACAGAACCCTCGGCCGGAGATCCCTGCAGCCTCGTATAAGGATCGAGACCCCTCAGTCCAGTCGCTCACCACACTCGGCTCCCCGAGCGGCTTGGCAAGGTTTTCTTCAGTGCGCACTTGCCCTTTTTAGCGCCGGAGGGAAGCACTGACCCCCTGCTCCTGAAGTTCTGACAGAAGGTCACGTAGCAGTGGATGTTCCAGATCAATGGTGACCGGTCGGAGTGCGTCCCTTGTCCATGCTCGCCGGTTTGTTGCGCAGGCTCAAGACAACCCAACTTGGGCTGCGGGCAAGCTCGCCCCTTCCATATCTCTCTCCTAAGCCTAAACGTTCCATCCAAAAGCACTAAAGCACGCCACACAACCTGCCCGGAGTACTATGCCTGGATCCTGTAGATGCGAAGATGGATGCGTTGCACCCGAATTCTATCCCTGAATCCTTTTGTGGAGCCATGCGGAGCCTTCTCGGCCTTCTCCTCCTCTGCGCCGTGCCAGCAGAGGATGTCCCTTCCTGCGATTCCACGGCTGACCTGCGTGAGGGTCCACCCAGCTGTGGAGATGCATCAGGCGCGGAGCAGCAGCTGTGTAGTCGAGGCATAGATTAGCACGGAATGCTAATAGCCCCGAAGCCTGAACAGTTCCACTTTCGCCATTCGCCCTTCTTGGAGGAAGTTGCAAAAAGTCCAGATCACTAGCAGAGGAGGCTGGCCAGGAGACAGGTTTCTCCATGATGCAGCACAGAGCGCTGGATCGACGACACAGGACAAAGAAGCCGTGGGAGACTTGGCTGTGAAGCAGATACCGATGGCCTGCCGATGGCTCATTTCAGATCGTAAACACCTTCGCCCTTTTATGTATCTCTGCCCCGGAGTGTGGAAAAGAGGAGCTGTTGCTCAGAGCATGGTGAGACTCAGGAATCCTTGAAGTTTACGGCAGTTGCATACCACAAGTCGGGCGTCTTCCTGATGCAGGACTGGCAGAGGTCGCCTTCTCTTGCCATGTGACTGTGGCTTTGCGAGGAGTTGCAGAGGATGATCTTCGACAAATTGAACGCTTCCGATGAAGTGTACGGCCTTTGGCAGCAGCCGTGCTTCAACGAGACCCTGGATTGCACAGGGCTGCACTTTCTGTGCTCATCTCTACTCGGATACATCCGGTCGCAGGGGTTGGTTTTCAAGCATCCAGGGATAGGTAAAGTAGCAGTTCGCGCCGGAAATGCAGCGGCATCTAAGATCTAAGGATCGTCTACAACGAGGAGTGGTGCAGGCTCTGTGACCTTCCTGCGGGCAAACTCAAAGCTGTTTGTTATTTGTTGGAACCCTCTAGGCCCCAGGCAAAGCTCATTGCAGTTTCAATTCCAGCAGGAGACCTTGAACAGCGACTGAATGCTGACGCTTGATACTGATGCAGGCACCAGACGGCGCCAGTCCGAACCTTGGTGGATATCTATGGCCCAGACATGGAGCGGCGCCGTGGAAGCATTGATTCTGCAGGCCCTCATGACATGATCCCGTGCTCCAAGCCGTCGCCACAGGAACGAGCGAGAGGATGCCAAGCCGAATGGAATGCGAGTTGCGGGCTCGGTTCGTCGCTGGCCTCATTTAGTTGATGTTGCATTGCTTTGTTTTGGAGAGCAACAGTAAACATCGCTGTTGGTCCGACTCTTTGGACCTGAACCTTGGGAAGCCCTCGCTCCCTCTGTTGGGCTCTTTCCGTCTTCCTAGGAGACCCCCTGGCCATGATCGCCTCTGCATATTGCTACCACCATCGAGGGGAGGCTTTGTGAGCAGGGCTGTCTGTCAGCAATGTCCAGTTGAGATCTCCAAAGCTTCCTAAGCCTTGGCCTAGCGCCGTCGCTTATTGTCAGCCGGGTCTTTCCCCGACTCCCCCAAGGGTGGCTTTGTGTGTGGCCAGGAGCTGGGCTACACCACCTTGTGGCCGCCGGGCCTCATCATGACCATGGGCCCGGAGGACGCTGGGCTCAGTTGGAGCTGAGAGGTGTTCTTAGGACAGGATGGGTGTCCTTGCCTGGTTAGCAACCACATCCAAACCCTGCATAGGCAAAGACATCGCAAAGGGGCATGCCCAATCCGAGCCCAAATCTTCGCAAGGATGGTGTGAAGTTTGCGGCAGCAGCTCGGCAAGCCATTGGGGACTCCCTTCCTGTTGAGCGCTCCGAATCAGCGCCCTTCGGTGGTCGCAAGATGCCGCAGCGTCCGAATGGGGCCTAACTGTGGGACTCTCTGTGCCCGACTCCGAGGAGAGAATGCTCACGACTGTGCGCAACATGACCGCCATCTTTGCAAATCCTGCCGAGGACACTTGCAAGGTCAATCCAAGCCCATGGGTGTTGTGAGGCACTTGTAGGGCTACAAGTAGCTCAGACGCAAGGCCAGCCGCTATCTCCAAGGGGTTAACAGAAAAACCCTCGTCCCCTGTCAGAGCGCGGACGGACCAAACAGGATACCATCCGCTTGTCCTTCGAGAACTTCTCAGCTTCCAGTGAAAGCTTCGATCTCGAGGTGGCTCGCTTAGTGCACCTCGGCCAGCACAGAGTCTTTGCGGATTCTGCAACTCGAGCGGGTTCAATGAGGCTGGTTATATGAGGTGTGAAAAGGGAGTTGAAAACGCAGGATGGTAGGGCCCCACCCCTCCGTCCCAAGCTTCAGGGATTTCTGGCTTCGGGACCTCATCGACGACAAGGAGCGCGAGCTGATCCTCGAGAATTGCAAGCAGGCCGTCGCACGGCGCCTGGGGATGCTTTCTGCAGTCGCTATTTTTTTCATTCGACCAGGCAGATCTCCATCGAAACCGCGACGTGCTTTCCCAGCAGCCGGGACAGGTTAGCAGGGTACGGATCGAGCTCGAGGGAAGTTTCAGAAGCCTCGAGCCGAAGTTTCTGACTTTGGGCAGCTTAGACCGTCGAACTCAGCACCTCGCATGCTGGTGGTGTAGGATCTTGGCACTTGGTACACGTGAAGTCCGGAACATCACAGAAACGGCTCCTGTCGTCACGATGCTAAGCTCCGTCGTTGTTGTGGATGCCACTTCACTTGGGTATGCTGCAGCTGCGATAATGGTATACATTCCGCAGCATTCATTTCACTCTACTCTGCGTTGTTACAAGATGTCGACAGCATGCCCGCATCCTCTGCCTGCCATTGCGAAGTAAAGCACTTACTTGAACCATGCAGTTGAAAATTTGCGCTGGAGGGAAGGCGTGAAATCTTGCTACCTATCACGAGCAGAAGCTCGGACTTCATGACAAGTCGAGCCCCCAAAAGTAACCAAACCCCCCAAAATCTTTTTTATACAAAGAAGGGACCTGAGGAGTAGGTATTCCCCTTTACATCTTCGGCCTTTCCGTCTCCCGCGCATTGCAGCTTGGATCGGCATCTTAAGGCACCATGATGTCGCGACCCATAGCAACGACAAGGAATGCGAGGCTGGTGCTGTTGGGCTGATTACGGCACGTCGGGAGCTTGCTTCGATAGGAGGCGTGCGAAGGTTCTGGCACACACTTCTAGGTCCAGCGTGGTAGGCAACCGGTCAGACTTGTGATGTTGCAGCAACGTGATAGGACAACCGGAAACAACATGAACGATCACTGGCAATCGCTGGTGCGACAGCCCGGATGTATGAGCCTAGCTTCGGTGTTTTGGAGTCATTTCGGAGCTGGTTGGAGCGTTGGACCCGCATGGGAGGCCAAAGCCATGGAAGCAACCAAGAAGCTGCCTCCGGACCTCCTCCAGCAGTGCCTCAGCTGGCTTCCTTCCGCCTGGAATTTGAGGGCAGAGCATCCCAAGCATATGAGACATAGAGAGAGAGAGAGAGAGAGAGAGAGAGAGAGAGAGAGGGAGAGAGAGAGAGAGAGAAAGAGCGAGAGAGAGAGCGCGCAGGCCTGTGTTTCGGTGACACACACGGTGTCGCCGGGCATGGCTTTGGGATTCCAGAACCGACCGGTCTGTCTCTACGAGCTCACAGAGCCTCTCAGCCCAGCCTCCGAAGCTCCGAAGGCCCAAAATTAGAAACCACCAGGGATCTAAGCCCTCGGCCTCGGAGCCTTGGCTCTGCAGCCTCAGGTACCGGACATTTCAAGCTCAGCTCGGATACCCCACGGACAGCTAAGCACTCCGTCTGCAGAGCTTCCACAGCTCACCTGAGTGATTTACTCGCAGGGTCAATAGTGTTGCGGCTTCCAGACTCGTCCAGGATTTGATATGCAAACACTCAGAGCCATGCAGTTGGAGAGTTTGTCTTTCGGGATTGTCTGCGATCTAATGTGCCTGTCTGCTTGTCTGCCTGTATGTCGCGATACGTACTGTATGTGCCAATGTTTGTCTCTCTGGGCAGGTTGTGTTGCCTGCACATGGCCTGGCAGTCACCCCAACACCGACATGGAGGATGACACGCTCTCAACTCAAAGTCCCCTGAGCCTTAAGCTTAGACCCTTAGAAGAAGAAGTTCGCTCGAATCTGAGGTGCAAGCGGAGCTGCCCACGGGTACGACTGCACAAAAAAGCGCTCTTTGTTCTTTGTGTTTGGGTAAGCCCGGAAGCGACCTCTTAAGCCAAGTCGGAGCCGACTTGTCCAACGAACGCCAGGTCGTTGCAGGTCTGCAACTCGAGGGCAAAATGGGCCTTTGAGCTCTTTGACCCAGGTGCTCCGGCTAAGTGTATCAGGGGCGCAGGTTCTGCTTTTCAGGCATGGACACTAAAGTGCACTTGGTCTGAGGCATTGGATTTCGCAAGTTAGGACTTGTGTTCTGATGCCATGGCGCAAATGCCTTGTGCAATGTCACGCAGAGAGCCCACTAGCTAATTCAAGCACTCGAGGTTCCTGGTTGTCAGTGTTGATGTGCAGACACAACCCTCCACATGTGAGCTTCTCATCCGTCAAGTAATCAGTAACAGTAAGCATGCTGCTCTCCGCAAGTGCCTGGCCCTGTTTTTCACTGTGTTGCTACCAAGTTAAGTCGGGATCGAGATTGGCAGGATGGCCTAACAAGATCGGTATGACCTTAGAGGGGTATCGAAAAGATTGTTCCGCAGCACGCGAGCTTCTGGCAACGACAGTCTCTGTTTGAGGAAAAGGGTGGAGTTTTCACTTAACGGAACATCCTCTACCTGCTGGAGGCTTGCGCAGAGCACTGTGACGGCCCTTCGAGCGGGCACGGGACATTTGCGGCGTTGATGCTGAAGGGCTCTTCGAGCGGCTTGTGCAAGAAGGGTCCGTGAAGGCTTTCATGCTCATTGCATTTGTTTCATACGATCCATGGTTTTTTCAGGTGAGGCTTCTTCAGAAACTATGGAAGTGGTTGGGTTGTCTTGGGCTTTCTCTCAATTGCGACAGGTGTGCTGGGCAGCATTGCACCATGCTCACAGGTAGAGTTCGTTTCACAAGGATTTGCTAAAGCATAGCCGTGCATAGCCGCGAACCAGACGGCGCTCAAAAGATGGCAGCCGGCGCAAAACAATTGCATTCTGCAGTCAGATGTTTCGGTGGTAAAGCCAGAAAAGCTGTCTCAACAAAGCCTTATATGCATGCTGGAAATAGCATGCCGCAGGGTCGGCCGCGCACCTAGCGCACTTGCCCACGTGCCTGCGTGCTTGACGTTCTTCTGCGACATGAACCGCAGCCGTTCTGAGCCTGCCGTTGCCATGCTCGAAGTGAGACCATGGGGCTGAACGGGTCGAACCGCCGATAAGAACGCAATCAAGCCCTGAACCTTGCCATGCGCACGTGGAAGCTCAAGCTGTAACACTCGGACCCAGAAGCTGCCAGGCTTTCGGCCATTGAATTCCTAGTGCCCCTCCCGCGTGACTTAATGTAAAATCCGGAGATCCGACGTTGGCGTCGGGGACGCTGCATGGGTCGCCATGAAGAAGTCTACGAGTCAGAGGCTCGGCTTTGCATCGCTGCTTGGAGCCAGAGCAACTTACTACGTGGCAGCACAGACATGTGGCTTCGCAGCAAGCAACTTGAGAGTTCTTGTGTCCGAGGCAGCTGCCTCCAGCGGCACGGCGCTGAGCGGCACAACAAAGAATGTTGGGAACAGCTTGAATTGTGTTTATGTGCGTAAGTTGGGCCTGAATGTTGATGGTATGCGCTCACTCGTAGTCATAAGCTCATCCATGCATCGCTGCCCCACACCCACACCTTTTTCAATTGCCCAGCTTCTGCAAAGCCAAGCTCACTGCTCAGGGTGGTTTTCCTGTGGCTCCTGTTCTTGGTGGCTACGCGGCACTGCCCTTTTGCTCACTGCTGCTATGCAAGGTTTGTGATTTGGCTTGCGCTGCCGTGCAGTGTACTCTCGAGCAGCACGATCGGAACACAGAAAGCCATACGTTGGTTGTAACACGGTAGCATGCTTCAGGGCTTCACAGGCTGCCATGCCCGAGCCAGTATTCACAGGCTCAAATTTTCCCGAGCAATTGCAAAGTGAAAAGGATGCAAGCAGAGTGCCGAGAGCAGCCAGGCTGTTCTTTGCGCATCAGTGGCTACTTCCGAGGCCTGGCTGACTATATTTCAGGCTCAAGCCATCACCTTTATTGCCAATGGTTCAGATGATCATGTCATGGATTTTTCGGAGTGCTTAAGGGCCCCCGCATTCTTCGCATAACCGCAAAAGGTGACCTCAACTCTGTGAGCGACCTTCGCGGATAAGCTTGCTCGGATGGTTTGAAGACGTCCTGATGTGCAAGCCAGGAACCATGACCCTCCTTCGGTTCTGGGGGTCTGAGATGGGTTCAGTTCAGCTGTCCACAGTGGACTTTGGGCATGGAGTTTCCCTTGACGACAAAGATCGCAGCAGCGTGACGGAGTCGTTGCTGTTTTTGCAGGACTCTCGAGCCCTCGGCAAAGATAGAGGCAGCCCAGTTCTGCTCCCAGTCTCATTCGCCAGTTGTGGCATCAGGGCCTGCAACAGATAAGAAAGTCTGCCGAGAGCAAGCAGGGGTGTGGGCGGCCGTAGTTGCAGATCGTGGAAGTCCACAAGTCGGAAATTGCCGGGTTCTTGTTGCTCGGGGCTGCAGAGCGCCTTAGCGGCGGATTCCAACTCCATGAACCGTTTGCAGCCAAAGTAAAGCAGTAGAAGACAGAAGCATCGAGGCCGCAGACGGAGCACCGAGCGCTCGCAGCACCGCAGGCGCCAGCTGGGTGTTTTCGTCTCTTCGTCTCGGCCCTCTCCCCCTTTCCCCCTTTCCTCTCGGCTCGAGCTCCCCCTGGGCCACGGGAGTGGCAGCCTTGTGTTTCCAGATCTGCAAGGGTTTCCCAAAGCTTTCACCCTGCTGGGTTGCTGTACCCTTTGTTTGGAAGGCACAGGAGCCAGTCGATTCCCATGGCGAAGGTCTCCTGTAGGGTGTCTGCTTGCTGCAAAGCAAATCATTGAAAAGAGAGGCCGTTGAATGTGGCCAGCTCCATTCAAGCATTCAAAGAGCACAAACATCTGTCGAGACCGATTCGCTTGCAATAGACTGCAACCTCAGGCCTTTGCCACCATACTGTCGCAGGGCACGTTTGCGTCAACTCAGCCGAGTTGCAGGACAAAGTGGCCAACCGCATCTTTCCAAAACGAACCTAGACAAAGAGGAAGAGGCCAGTACCTCGGGTTCGAATTTGTTCAAGCTTACGGTCCTGATGTAGGTAAAGTCGGCAGCATTGCGTCCTCACTTCATACTGGAAGCTGCCGTTGTCATGTTCGCTGCTTGTCTTCCACTGTCCTGCCCGGGCTCTGCTTGGGGGCTTCGGCTGGCCATCCTACCGAAGCCTTGAAGCGCGAAAATTGCAAGTGCTCTTCAACTCAATAACCCGCAGGCACACGTTTCGGGGAAGCCCGGGTTTGTTGCCATGTGACACGGCGCGTCGCAAGAACTGCCCATAGTCTGGGTTTGTTTGGCTGCAGGCAGAGCCGGCCCCCGTGGAAGCCAGCGAGGCTAGGGGAGGCAAGACGATCTTGTATAGCTGGACGCCGGTACTGCGTCACGTTTACACGCATGTCTGGTACTAGATTGTCTTCTGTTCCCGTCGGTGCAGCTGCAACAGGTTCGGTTTCCAAGCCCAACCCGCGAGTGATTTAGAATTGACATTTATCAGGTCGCAGTTTCAATTAATCTACGCCGTGAACCCTTTCGGACCACTTGAATTACAGCAAGGGCTTGGGCCTTGGGCCCTTGCGTCTCCCGAAGGACGCAGTCGGCAGGCCTCCTTCGAAGCTGGGGACCCAGCTCCCCGAGTTCTCCTTTGCGAGTTCTGAATTTCGCTTTTGGTGAATTCCACTTATGGGTCAACTTCCAGTGCTTTGGGGCCTGTGGGGTGCCCTATACTTTCCCCGGGCGACTAAGGCACCCCTCACCGATTTTGACAACAATGCGCCACGGCCGTCCCATGCTTGGAGGCTCCAGAGAGGTAATTGGAGATCCCCAAAAAGGTCTCAAGAAGGCTCAAAATTGCGGAGACTTTGTGTCCGTTTCTCTACGTGGGCCAAACGCGGGACCATGTTCATGGCCCCCAGCAGAAGCTACTAGGAGGGTCTTCCCCCCTCAGAGCCCAAAGAGCTCTGCTGCGAGAGACCTCGTATCTCACGGCGACGCCGAGGCCTCCGAGGCCGGGTGACTACGAGGAGCACCGCTTTTATTTTTGGCGTAATAGTAAGAGTAATAGCAATAAGAAGAAGAATTATAATAGTAATAATAATCATAATAATGAGTTTGCTTGGCATCTTTTGGAGGCATTCCTCGGGCGTTTTCTCACCGCGTTTAGACGCTTTCTCTAAGACTCACTGAGTCTTCTGTGTCTGCAAAGCCAGGAATATTCTGAAGCGCCCGGGCCCCACTGAGCTGCAGATATATCAGGACTGGCATGATCATGTCATACTCACCGCTTCTCAGCGTAGCAGGCCGCATGCCCGCAGAAATCGGGACACCTGCTTATACCACGCTTGCGCGAATTTCTGGCATGGTAAACTATAGCACCGGCCCAAGTGTTCAAACCTTGCAGTGATTTTGCATTCGTGCCTCTGACTGGATGTACGGAACACATGTTGGACGTGAAGATAACGCATGAGGAGTACAGCTGTCCTCATCATCGCGCGGAGGGGGGGGACAAGCGAGGACAAGTTCTTTTGTTGTC